TAGAACTCTATAATTAATCTCTTCTTTTACAACTTATAATTTATAAACAAAGTGATTAATCTACATACTTTGTAATTATAAAATTTTAGTCCACTTCCTTTCATGTGTAGCCATGTTTTTTTAAAGTATGCATTTAATTTCATAATAATCTTAATTTTGTATTATTTTATGGGATAGTTGCAAATATGACAAAAATATTTAGTAAAATTAGCAAAATAGCAACCAACATTTAGTTTTTCAAATATAACACTTTTTTTTAATGGAGGTCCAATTTTAAAATGACAACTTTACCCAAATGATATACATCTATAATATATCTGTAATATATTTGACTACTGATATATGTATGTGATATACATCTGATATACTACTAATATGCCAAAGCGAGCATACCTCAGCGATAATTGGCATATACTTCAAACCGAGAGGTTGTGAGTTCGAATCCCCTCCCCAACATGTTGAACTAAAAAAAAGAAAAAAAATATACTACTACTGATATGAGTATCTGATATACTATTGATATGCGTATTTGATATATCATTGTTATAAGTAAAACTTTGTGCTATATTTGAAAATTTTAAAAAACAGGCGACCTATTTTGAAAAACATAAGACATCTTACTACAATTTTTCTATTTTGTATTTAATATGATGAAGGGTCGCATACCGATGATGTTCCTAGATCATTAGCGAGTCGTAGAATTGTTGACGACCAACGGATTATATCAGCATATTCCACCAAGCTCTCCAAATCATCCATTACAATTGGAGATGTCGCAAAAACATACCCATGAACTAATATAACTGGTCCTGATATTGAAATCCATGCATTGTCCAAATATTGTTGCAGCGTTGCTTTATAACCAATATAATACCATTTTGCCTCCTGCATATATGCTTTGCACAAATCTACCCACTGTACCATTAAATTATTTTGATAAGAGTAAAATTAGAGAGTTATTTCTTCAATCTTGACACACGTTAAGAAGCTAGAAAGTTAATAAAAGGTTCAGTGGTTTGTACCACTTTCTTAAGATATTTGATGACGTCAACTCCTTTATCTCTAAGTGCTTCAAAAGCCATCTCATTTATAGAATTGTGGAGAAAAAGAAAGCATAGTTTCATGTAGTATGGAAGTTGGTTCATTGCTGCAAGATCCCATCTGAAATTACCATTTAGAAGAGAATTAAAGATTTATTTACTGCAAAATGAAGACTAGTAAGAATTAAATAAAGTTTCATGTAGTATGGAAGTTGGTTCTTGCAGCAAGATCCCAGCAAGGTCTCCTTCCCTCTGCGGTAAGGAGATCGGTTTCTTTGATCTTGCGGGTCAAAGGATGGCGGATGAATTGCTAAGGGCTTGTTTGGTAATGTTCCCGTTTCTTATTTCTCATTTTCAATTTTCTTAAGAAGTCTAAGCATTTTGAACCTAACTATGTTTCTTGTTTCTCATTATCAAGTTTCTGCTTTCTTGTTCCTATTTCCAATTTGTTCCAAAACATAAATAAAAAGATTGTTTCATCATACTTTAATTCATGAAGGTTAGGAAAATGCAATTCATTTTTCTTTATTAAAAATTAAAAAACAGAAACGTTACAGCTAAACGAGCCCTAAATTCACCAAGTTGAGAGGATGAAACTGACGGGAAGAGGAAAAAGGGAAGCATTTTGAAATTGAGCATAATGTGATCTCTGCGTATGATGACAACCTCAAGTTTGCGTTGGTTTGTAAGATTGTAACAACGAAATTGATCAATGTTGAAATTTTTAACACAATGATGCCAAGAATTTGGAATTTGGAGAACGTGAAGACACTAGGGGTGTGGGAAAGAATGTTTTTAGCTTCAGATCATAGACCAATTTTGGCTAATTAGATAGCTGAGGATAGGGTTGGCGTTTATAACAGGAATAGGCGCAAACCCCAACACTTCGAGGAATTATGGACCTCGTTTGGGGAATGTAAAGAGATTGTTCAAAGAGTGTTGGTTGGTAGGGAAAGTTCGAAGGGGATATTTGATAACTCTCCAAAAGAGAGTTATTTGTGCAAGAATTTCATATAAATTAGCTAAGGATAGCCACACTAACACTCATTCTATACTGATTTTTATGCAAATAATGTTTTACATTCATTAACATCTTTATCTTAATAGACAATGCTGAGAGTTATGAAGAATTGCCTAATTTTGAATGTTTTACTACAGCATTGTTGATGTTGCAGCATCGGAAGCAAAAAGGCAGAAAAGGCAGAGTTGACGATGACAACTTTTACCCGAAAAATTACTGCATTAAAACGGAAAAATACATGTTATGCTAAGCTGGGCCCACTTTATCATTTGCGTTACCCAAAAATCAAGAGGGGTATAAAAGCTTGTATTTGAGGGGTGCCTCCAACATTCCCCGTCCCATCACTTCACTCTCACTTGAAGAAAGCTCCCAAGAAACCGTTGAAGAAGACAACAAAGAGAGAAGAGTTGCTGTTGTTCTTCATTTTCTTCTTCTTCTGTACTCTTTAGTGCACGAGTTTTGTATTTTCTTCTTCCCTTTTCTTGTATGACATTGAGTAGCTAAGTTTATTTGTAAGGGGAGGATGTTGTGAACTTGTTCTTAGGCTATAAACAACTTCAACTCCGTATATATACGGAGTTGAAGTTGTTTTTAACGTTTTATTTTCAATGTGCTTGGCCAACATATTAGAATATCTTCTTATTAACTCTTGGAAAATTGTAATAGGAAGTGTTTGGCTTCAACTCGTGTTAGATCTACTTGAGTTTATAGTGTGGGTACTTAGGAATAAGACTCACCTATCAAGGTTATAAATTGAGTATATGTGTTGTCAAGTTTGTCTAAAAACATAAATGGTAGAAAATCTGGAAATCTGGGAAGATTTTGTGTCTATTTGGCTAGTATATCAACATCGTTAATGCTGCAGCATCGTTAGAGTAGCCTAGAAAAAGTCCCATAAACTCTTCCCCCTCACCCTTTTAAACATCAGTATTTAATCTCTTATTTGCACACTTTCCTTTAATCAGTTTGGTTCTGTTTGGTTCTTACCTGTTTTTTCTTAGCAAATCATCTATGCACTATTTTGTTTGGGTTCCTTTAGTTTTTTTTGTTCAAAACATATTTTGTTAATTTATTTATTTTCTTAAGTAATTGTTGAAGTGTTTAGTTATCAATCTGTGTGGATACGATCTTTTTATCACTTGCTACAATGGTTGTGTACACTTGCACACAAKGGTTCTAAGCCGTACCAGCAATATTCTTTCAGAAGAAGCTGGATGCTTGTATCAATGACCTTTTGAGATGGAACAAAGAATGGTTAGGGGTTCTATCCGCGAAGCTATTCCAAGAAAAGAATAGGAAATTCACAAGTTGCCCCTTCTGGATAACATGAATGGTAGAAGTTTTATGTGGACGACTGAAAGAGAATTTGAAAAGCTTCGTGAGGAAGAGGCAGTGGTCTAAGGAAGATTGACTAAAGTGCACGGACAAAAATACAAAATGGTTCCACATCAGAGCTAGTCAAACGGAGGAAATCAAACTGAATTAAGGGGCTCTTAAGATGAGGCAAGCAATTGGGAAGAAAATGAGGAGAAGATTGGAAATATAGCGGTGGAGTACTTTAAACAACTATTTTCTTATAGTAAGCTGAGCATGTAAGTTATAAATGATGAGTTGGAAGTAATCCTGAATAAGATCTCGGCCGACCAGAACTACAAGCTTTCAAAGGAGTTCACACTTGACGAGATTAGTTTGGCCATTAAAGATATGCATCCCATGAAAACTTCCGGCCTGGACGGGATTCAAGCCATTTTCTATCAAACGTATTGAGACATTGTCGGAGACGAAATGAGTGGCATCTGCTTGAGGTTCTAAATAGTAATTTAGTTGTGGGACAACTTAATAATACATCCATTGTCCTAATCCCAAAGTGAAAAAAGATGTATGAAAGATTTCAGACCAATTAGTCTTTTCAATGTAATCTACAAAATCATTGCGAAGACTTTGGCTAATAGATTGAAACAGGCCTTGGATGGCATCATCTCTCCAACCTAATCGATGTTTGGACCTGATTATAGTAATCTACTACTAGGGTTTGAACGCATTCATTCCTTGCAAAATTAAAAGTGGGTAAAGTGGGAGCAACAACGCTTAAGCTTGATATATTTGAAGGCTACGATAAAGTGGAATGGAAGTTCTTGAGACTGGTAATAGGAAAGATGGGGTTTTGCGACAGATGGATCGATCTTATAATGAATTGCATGAAATCGCTCAACTTTTCGATTCTTATAAACGGAATGCCTGGGACGTCTTTCAAGCCAAACAGAGGACTTAGACTAGGAGATCCTTTATCCCTTTACCTTTTTTCTTTTGGGTTATAAAGGTTTATCTGCTTTTCTCACACGAGAAGAAGAGAAACACAATTTTAATGCCTTTCGTATTAATAAATATTGTCTTTCTCTCACTCATTTATTATTATTATTATTATTTTGCATACGACAGCCTTATTTTATTAAGTGCAACTTGGAAAGATCGTCAAACAATTAAAGGGATTCTTAATACCTATAAGAAGGCTTCGGGTCCAACCATCAATTTTGAGAAGTCCCTATTTATGACAAGCAAAAACACGAGGGCAGACAATGATCGACTATATTGGAATATAACTTAATGTCCCTTTCTCTGCTCAGTTGGGACAGTTCTGCGATTGCCATCTCAAGTTTCTAGAAATAGGTGTCAAGTCTCTAACTGCTTGAAAGACATGCTCGAGAAGGATGGAAAGGAAAGTTTTTTCGATGGGTGGAAAAGAAGTTCTGATTAAGGTGGTAGCTCAGACAATCCCCACTTATAGCCTTAACTGTTTTAAACTTCCAACCTCTCTTTGCAATGAATTTCATTCCATTTCTCCCGCTTTTGGTGGGGTCGACTACTGAGGACAGGAAAATTCATTGGCAAAGTTGGAAGCATCTATGCATCAAGAAGGATTAAGAGGGAACGACCTTTCTATACATCACTTCTTTCAACTAGGAAATGTTAGCGAAACACAGTTGGAGGATCTTGAGACATCCGAATAGTCTTTTGGCAAGAACTCTTAGGGGAGAGTATTTCAAGACAAGGTCTTTCATGAAGGCTAAACTGGGAAACAAACCTTCTTATACTTGGAAAAATATTCTCTGGTGTCGTAAGCTCTTCGAAAAAGGTATCGTTGGCGGGTTGGAAATGGCCACAGTATTCTATAGGTTCGGATCCCTGGATACCATGAGAAGGCACATCTAAACCCATCTATGTCCTTAATAGTATAAGAGAGCTTTCAGTTGCTTGGCTAAAATAAGAAGGGGGAAATTAGGATGACGAAAAGATCAACATTACTTTTAAGGTAGAGCAAATCTTTCAAACCCATCTACCTAGAGGCAACTTGGATGACAAGATCATTTGGGGGCTAGACAAGAAGGAGATTTTCTCTGTTAAAACTGCTTATCACCTCAGAATGAATGTTCAAAATGAGATGGACAAAATCTTACTCTAATATAAATATTCAAAATAGTTGTGGAAAGCAGAGGTGGCGCCTAAAATAAAAATAACGTGTTGGAGGTTTGTGAAGGACATTATTCCTACAAAAACTAATCCCTGCAAGAAAGGAATCTCTACTAATTTGTGTTGTGTTTTTTGCAGGGAGGATGAAGAAATGACAATTCATCTGTTTGGGATTGTAAGGTAACAAAACCGCTTAGAAATATTTTTTTGAATCCTGATTTGGGTCTTTTTGTAATTGACAAGAGAAGCTGGAAAACCTGGGACTATTGGGATAGGATGCTGGATAATACGACCATGGACGAGTTGGAGGTGTTTATGATCATATGCTCGTGGGCGATTTGGACGCATGGAAATTATAATGTGATCTTCAAAGGGAGCAACCTAGTTCGCAAGTTCTTCTCAACAATATTAGGAAAATTATTGTTGAAAATGGTACCATATTGGAGTCGCAAACGCTTAGCACAGTCATAATTCACAAAATCAACGCAACTCCAAAACCAAAAATAAATAGCAAACCCCCTTTTTCATATTTGGACGTTGAGTGCCAACGCGACTTGATCGAAGACTCATAAGAAAAGGGGTTTGGGTTAAGTGTTGCGAAATTGGGAAGGTGTTGTCATCTTGTAGGCATTCGTTTCATTGGCGTTCAAAATAGTGTGAAGATGTTGGAGGTCATGACTATCTTGGAGGGCCTGTGGAATCTCCTTTGATGGGTGTCTTACCCAATTCAAGTATAGATTGATTCGATTGAGGTGGTGAAATTACTGTGTTTATGCAAGGATATGCACAACAGTGTATTTCAGATTGCAGCTCGAACTCGGCCTCCGGACCGATCTGAACACTTGGGCGGACCTGCACAAAAGGGTGAGCACTCCGACAATCAAGTCAGTATAGGTCGGATTCCCAGTTTAGTTCGAGGCCAGAAATCATCGTACCTGATCGTGGAGTGAAGTCCTCTACTTATGGGTGGTAGTCCCACTAATCTCGCAACGGTTACACTCGGTAATTTCGGGATCGTCGGTTACGCCCGGTAATCTCGGGACCGACGGTTATGCTCGATAATCACGCCGCTGACAGTAATTCGCATCGGCCCCCACCGAGCTTCCCGGTAGTTCGGACCTCGGCCA